CGGCCTGGGACACGCTGAAGATCAGTCAAGCGCCGCAGGTGAGCATCAGCCGCAGCAAGTCGTACCGCGAGAACGGGGCGCCCTTCGTGCCGCCACCGCCCGCGCTGGACGAGCTGGGCGGCCCAGGGGGCCCCACGCACCCGGAGGAGCGCCTCGGCGCGGCAGGCGCCCCGGGTGGCGCCCCGGCGGCGGGTGGCGGCACGGGTGCCGAGGAGGACGAGGAGGAGCTGCTGGAGGACGAAGAAGACGAGGACGAGGAAGAGGAGCTGCTGGAGGACGACGAGGAGGAGCTGCTGGAGGACGATGCCCGAGCGCTGCTCAAGGAGCCCCGGCGTTGCGCCGTGGCCGCCACCGGCACGGTGGCCACTGCCGCTGCCGCTGTGGCCTCTGAGGGCGGGGAGCTGTCGCCCAAGGAGGAGCTGCTGCTGCACCCCGAGGACGCTGAGGGCAAGGATGGCGAGGACAGCGTGTGCCTGTCTGCGGGCAGCGACTCGGAGGAGGGGCTGCTGAAGCGCAAACAGCGGCGCTACCGCACCACGTTCACCAGCTACCAGCTGGAGGAACTGGAGCGGGCCTTCCAGAAGACGCACTACCCAGACGTCTTCACCAGGTACGCGCATGGGGTGGGTCGGTGGCAGCGACTGGAGGGCGCAAACAGGCCCCAGGGACGGGAGGCCGGTGGGCCGGGGCCCCGGGCTCGGGGCAGGGACTTCGCTCCAGGACTCTACCCAGGCGCACAGTCCCAACGCACCTACCCCTGCTCACGACTAACTACCCACTCCCTCTCCCCCACCCCTATTCCGGGCTTTAAGTTTTAGGCTGGGATGATTTCTTTCCTTCCCAATGTCTCTGCAGTTTAATTTTTCTCAAACTACAAGTTTTAGAGAGAAAAAGAAACGGCCTCTCCAAAGGACGCCCAAACGTGCCACCTTGGAGACGCGCGCACCCCAGCACACACAGACACTCATGGCCTCGGGCGCAGCGGCCGGGCCAGGTCCCAGGCGAGGCGCAGCAAGCGCTGCCGGCCCTAGCGGCCCAAGCAAAGCAAGGGCTATTTTTGGCCTGTGTGTGGGGCGCTCGCCACCCCCGCCTGATGCCCCAGCAGCCTGGTGGGTATCAGTTACGCTCTTCGCAGTGAAGCTGGAGCCCGTGCCTACGCAGAAGGCCTTTTAAAAGATCCAAGTTCTGCCGCTTGAGGACTCCTGAAATAACCGAAGTCAGAACTGGGCAGTATTTGGGATCTACACCTGGGGGCACCCGCCAGAATCTTCCCCTCTCATCGCTTTCCTCCCCACCCCACATTAAACCCAGTGTTGGTTTAATGCAAGTTTAACGTACACGGGTTTACAGGGATGGGTAATGATTCCTGGGAACCTGGCAAGCCGTAGATGAAACAGCTGGGGGAAGTTTTCGTTTTGGATGGGTGGCCAACCTGGGTGTTCCGCGTGATTATGCTCCAATTCAAGCTCACCCGAGGTCGGTCTTTTCCTTCCTTCCTTCCTTCCTTCCTTCCTTCCTTCCTTCCTTCCTTCCTTCCTTCCTTCCTTCCTTCCTTCCTTCTTTCTTTCTTTCT